CCAGGAGCTCAGAACGCTCTGGTGATGTCGCAGGCGCGCCAGATCAAGGAGTTGCTGGCGGCCTTCAGCGGGGCTATGGCAGAGTATCTGGGCATCGAGTCGTCGGGGCAGTTCCGGGGCGAGATCGAGCGCGTGCTGACGGGTTTCGGCTACGCGGGCGCAGCTGCGACGACAGCGCCGCGGGAGGCCGAGCTGATCGGAGCCCTGGATCGCCTCAGCTCCCCGGCAGCCCTGACCGCGGGCAGCCCTGACCGTGGGCAGCGGCCCATGGGCACAGGGGCCTCGCCCGACCTCTCGGCGTCGTGGGGCGGTTGCGAGTAGACGCGCTGGGGCTCCAGTCTGCCGGTTGACCTCCAGCGGGCCGCCCCCGAAATATACGGGATGATTCGAAGCGAGGGCGAATCGAATGCGCGTGATTGGATCGTCCAGAGGTGCCATGGCAGTCGGGGCCCCGCGTGGGCCGACCTGTGGAAATTGTCGGCCACCGTGGACTTCGGGCCCAAAGATTGCGCCAGCGACGTGGAGATCATGCAGGTGCTGGCCGTGGACGACATGATGGAGCTCGCCCTGAGGAGGTTGGCGTCGTGCGTGTACGAGCAGAGGAGCGGAGACCGCGTGGGGGCCATGCGCATGCTGGGCTTCACGTCAGCAGGCGGCTCAGCAGACGTGGCCCCCACGTGGATGGCGGCATCGGCGGGCTCGTGCAGGGGCCTCGCCCGACTCCGACGTGACAGCGAGCTCTCGGACAAGATGCGGAGTCTGCACGGCCAGGTGCATTGGGTGGCTTGGAGAGAAGCTAAGCGACTGGCAGAGGCGCGCCGGGACTGCGGTCTGACAGGCGCCCCAGCGATGCTGGAGCTAGCTCGCCTGGAGGTGGGCTGCGGCAAGCCGACCAGAGTGACTGCGCATGGAGCCCTGAGAGCAGAGGATGTTGACGAGCCGCAAGAGGTGAAGTGTGCGAAGATGCTCGACGCGCTGGGGCCCGAGGAGGCCATGTTGCACAGCGAGGAGACCAAGGCGGTGGAGCGCGCCGAGCTGAGGAGCCAGGTGATCTTCGAGGGGCTGCAGCAGGAGTGGCGCCGAGGAGGTGAAGGTGATCGCCGGCTTCAATACCGCGGGCAAGACGGCGGGAGGTCGACAGCGGATGATCATCATGGTGGCGGCCGCCAACTACATGATCAAGGATGTGGGGGGGCGGGCAGGGCTGCGCGGAGGCGGAGCGCTAGGCCTCTTGCACGTCCTGTCGGGCTGCTGGGCGGCAGCGGCGTTCGACGAGAGCAACGCTTTCTCGTTCGCGGAGGTGCCCTGTTGGATTTGTTTGGGGCTGGCAGTGCGTGCCCCGGGTGCAGGCGCGGGCCGTCTGGGAAAGCCTCGGCGCGTCCCGCCGGGCCTCGCTGGTCCCCGAGTCCTGGGTCTACCCGATGTGGCGTCGGCTGGTCATGGGCAGCTCCCATAGCGCGCACGTCCTGATGACGATCAACGCCAGAGTCTGTGCCATGACGTTGCAGCGCCCACTCGTGAGCCAGGACCGCGAGCGGCGACTCAAGTGGATAGGGAGCTACCGGATGATCAACGACAGCGAGTGGGTTGAACGACAGGAGATGCGACGCTCCCCCCCCGAGACGGACGGCTATTCTGCGGCGGGGTGGTGCGAAGCCGTTCGAAAGGCCCAGCTACGGAGTGGAAGAGCATTTGTGGTCATGCACCTCTACGCGGGCCCCCAGGGGGCTCAGGGCGTGCGGCGCTACCTGGAGAAGTTCTTGGGGGAGCTGGGCCTGGTCCTGCTGGTAATCTCCGTCGACCTGGCTGCAAGTAGCGGGGAACGTGCGTAGGCCTTCCCGCGAACCGCCCGGGAGGACAGCATCGCCCAAAACGAGCGCTCTACCATCCATCATTCAGTGCCCCTCCATCTCCTCTGGGTGACTCGACGGCGAATGTGTGGGCGCAGCCGTGGGCGTGAACTGGAATAGATAAAGATTTCAGACAGGGTCGTAGCAGACGCCGCGCGCCCGCGGATTGATGTGGACACTGCCGCCGCAGATGCAAACACTGAGCGGAGATGCTCGGTTCGGTGGTGGGGTCTCCCTGTTGTTTGTGCGGCCGCGCGCCTATGGCGCCCTCTGCTCGCCTGGATGGCGCATTCAGGTCGCGGAGGGGGATAAGGGGGCGGAAGGGTTCTTCCGCTCTTTCCATAAACAGCAACTCGCCTCCAGCGCCGGTCACGTGTCGCGCGCCGCCGGCGCGCAGCCATTTCTGGCAAGTGCTTTCACATGACGATATTCAGTCGGAAGGACTGGCCATTGCTGGAGAGTCGTTCCGCGGAGGTCCGGTTCCTGCGCCGCAGGCTATGATAAACAGTCCGCACGGTTGTATCCTACGACACCGTTTGCGAGCCTGGACGGTGCATCCAGGCGAAACTATTCGAAGCGTGGCCACGCGGGTCTAGCAAAGCCATCGGCAGTGCTGTCGACTGTGTGGGCTCTTCCCTGTCTGTACGCCCGTGCCCC